GACGGTATATGTACAGGGCCCTTTACGCTCAGGCTTCGCTACCATAATATAGACGGTTTCAACTTTCCAGAAATCTCAAGAAAATCTTCGGTTTTTAGCCCCTTGATGAAGATGAGTGCTTCGGCAGATGCTTCTTTCGCCTTCCAACTCGGCTAAGGTAGAAAAAGAGATAGGTAGTAGTAGCAAAAACGAGGAATTCTGCTGTAATGTCATTGTAATTTTAATTTTAAATGATTTATGTTTATGTAAAAAGTAAGGGCTTGAAAGTAAGGGAATAAAAAGAAATGTGAATAAGTTAAATCGGAATAAAAACCTGAATAGGAATGTTTCGGTCCATCAAGTCGCATACATTCTTGTTCAGTGCTGCAACTGGACCCCGTCAGCGTGACGGTTGCAGCAAAAATAACATGCAATGTGTCAAAAAGAAAATGGAAAATTTAGATTATGTAAAAAGATTAAAGCAAACGGTAAAAGTGCATTTAGGAAAACAATACTTCCAGATTATTGAAAAAACAGCCACATGTGCGGTGTTGGGGTAAATTCTGTGTTTAGCTTGAAAGCCATTTGGTTGTTCTTGATAATAGATTTATAATGTCAAGAAATTGAACAGTGTTGCTCACTTAAGACATTTTCGATCGCTTAAGTGCAACATTTTAACAATATGCGTTTTTGCATTTGCATAAAGATGTGAAAAAACACATAAAAATGGAAAATTGCTGGGAGCAGTAACTTCCTCTTGTACACTGTCGGAAGTTATAGGTTGATACACTGAGGTGATTTTACTTATGAATGAAATTATATGTTTTATTTGTAATTACTGAAAATGTACGACAGGAAGTTACTGCCCTTAGTAAATTTTCACGAAAAGTTAGAAATTGCAATCCCTGCTATACTTTTATGCGTTTTGTGCTGTGCACCAGCGTTACAAAACGCATATTGTCACGGGGTTGTCTGTGTGTGTGTATGTGTGTGTTTTTGTGTGTGTGTATGTGTGTGTTTTTGTGTGTGTGTGTGCGTGTGTGTGTGTGTGTGTGTGCGTGTGTGTGTGTGTGTGTGTGTGTGTGTG